ATGCAAGGCTCCGCGCCAGGGGCTAGGGCCCAGGGACTCTAGGAGCGGGGTTGGTTCCTTTCTTCTTTGTTAGCTTTGTTGGCGCTCACATGGGTTATGTAAACTTGTCCAGGTCAAAGTTGTTTTGACTGCACTGATTTTTATATATTACTGACAAAGTACAGTGGCCACTCGGTGGAAAACCCCGGGAGTTGGTGTAACGCCTTGTGCAGCAGAATAAGAAAGGTGCTTGGTCTTTGTCCCATTGCCTGACACTGAGCTCCTAAAACCCTTGGAATCCCCTGAGGGATAAGAACTTCTTTGGTGTGCTGAGCAGCTGATTCTTGGCTGGGGGTGCTCCTGGATAGTCTCAGCACGGGGGCTGGGCCCAGAAGGACCAGACTTTGGTTGGAAACTTGGAACTTTCAGCCCAACCTTGGAGAAGGAGCGAGGGACTGAAGCTGGAGCTAATCCCAAGGGCCAGTGATTCAATCAGTTGTGCCTCATGTAATGAAACCTCTGTGGAAACCTCTAAATGACAGGGTTGAGAGAGCTTGCAGATTGGCGGGCACATCAAGGAGCTAGGAGGGTGGCACACCAGGAGAGGGCATGGGGGTTCTGCGCCCCCCTCATCTCATGCCAGCATTTTGTCCATCTGGCGGCTCTTGAGTCGTACCTTTATAATAAACCAGTAAGAGTAAGGAAAGCACTTCCTGGGTTCTGGGAGTCATTCTGTTGAATTATCATACCCAAGGAGGGCATCGTGGGAGCCTCCAATTTTATAGCTGGTTGGTCAGAAGTATGGGTGGCCTGGAGATTGGGATTGGCGTTGGAAGTGGGGGCAGTCTTGTGGGCTGAGCCCTTTAACTCATGGAATCTGACACTCACTTCAGGTAGACAGTGTCAGAATTAACTGAGTTGTTGGATACCTGGTTGGCGTCAGAGAGCTGGGGCAGTGGCGTTGAAAAAGACCACGTGTGTTTGGTGTCAGGAGGAAAATGAAACCCTTATCCCTTGTCTGTCACGTTGTGTGGGTGGGGGTGGGTGTAGACAGATGGGCATGAAAAGATTGAAGATCAAGCCCCAGAAGATGCAGAGCCTGTGTAGTTCTCACTTTCCTGTTCTGTCCTGCAAACTATGTCAGCTGTCTGGCTACACTCAACGCACATTACACCGTCTGTAGTGTGGGAAACTCCTTAAATTCTTGGAGCACTCTGGATGACTAATGTATTATCAAAATGCAGATATGCACAACATAACAGGAAAAACTCAATATAGGGTTCACATAGAGAAGAAGACTCTGTCCCTCATTCCTGTGTAATTGCCAGAGGACGGAGTATATAATTTCAGGCTCCATTTCTGATTGCTCAGGGGAGATAGGGTACCTTTCAGAAAAAAATTCAAGCCAGCTCAAGTTATCTGCAGGCTGTGGTTTGAGGGTCTGCCCAGACGTAAAGCCTTGTATCCATTCATCTGTTGTACAGGTATTTACTGAGCTACTAATCTGTGGGCCAGGCCTGTTGGTGAACAAAAGTTCCTCATTTTCACTCATCTTCTCTGTCCCCATGTTTTGGATAAATGGTGTAGGTTATTTTAACGAAGAAAAAGGACTTTTTATCCATCCACTTACTCATTCAATGTGTGTTCGTTTGAGAGTCTACAATACAGGTACACCACTGGGAAATATTCAAAAGAGACATGTTTGCCTTCAAGGACCTTCAAACTCGTTTATTCATCAACTCGTCACTCATTCGAAAAAACGTGCATTGAGAGCCAGGCAATGGACCAGGGCAGTGCAAGGGAAATGCAGAAATGAACAAGAGTGCACAGTCAGTCCATGAAGTACCAGCCTGGAGGGGCAAACAGGTGGTCACATCTTTGGTTAAGTCAGGTGTGGTCAGTGATGGTCATGCACTCTGCCCACACCATAGGGACAGTGCAGGGGGAGCACAGAAGTGCGGGGTCCTGGCACAGCTCCCTGGAGGTGAGAGGGCAACACTTGACTCTTGATCTGATTTTCAGTTGGGGCCAGAGCGAAGGGTTGGCTTGGAAAGGAGGCTGTGGCAGGAGCTCCCATCAGAGGGAGCTGTGTCAGTGAAGATATGGACGTGTAAGGCACCACGGCAGGGTACTAGCCTGCAAGTGCTATATTTTGATTTGGGCACAGAAGGTGGCAGATGAATTTGAATATTGTGACACAGTTGCATGTAAATGTCAGGAACTAAAGCTTGTAATATTGGCACAATCCATGGTTCAATGAAATGGATAGCCCAGAAGTAAACAAACATGTGATAAAGGAGGTATCACAGATCAGAAGGGTGTTAAATAAATAATGCTGGGTCAATTGATAAGTTATTTAGGAAAAAAATAGATTCTTATACTAGCGATGATTTTTAGAGTTTTGGGGCTCGAAATTTAGAAATTAGAGGATTAAGGTTTCCCTCTGTGAATTAAAATTTAAGGTCAACACTTATGGGTCAGGATATATTTAACAGCTTACCTTAAATAACCAAGTGTATCTTACCTCATTGAACGTAACTGATCCCATGAGCATGGCTGTCTTTACAGACCCCACACTCACAGGAACCTCGCTTTGGTTTAATGTTCTGCTCTTGCCCTCTTGAAATGCTTCATTTTTGAAAATGGACCTGTGCTTTCATTTTGCACTGAGTCCTGCAATAGATGTATCAGTCCTGCCCGGGACATGGGTCACCCATGGAAGCAGAAGGCTACAGAGCCAAGCTTTAGAAGTCAATGCTCTCCTGCCTCTTGGTGAGTTGCAGCAGCACACTTAGGGTCTGGCTGCAGTAGCAGGACTGTCTGTATTGTGTGTACAGATGTCCCAGACTCATGCTACTCAGCATTCCATTTATTTGACAGACTCCTTTCCTCCCATCTCCTTCTCAACCAGCAACCTTCTCATTGTGATTTGGCTGCTTCTGTGGTCTTCCCACAGGAGAGCACTGGCTGGTCATGCTGACTCCTGCCAACTCCAGAAATAGTCATTGGGTTGGCATCCTGGTGATACGCATCAGTGAGGTTCTTTAATGGGGGCCTGTCCCTGAGAAAAGGTCCCCTCCTGATGACTTTCTGAGACAGAAGGCTGCAGGCCAGGCATCATGCTGGTACAGAACAGTGGTTAGGAACGAGGCCTTTGAAGTCAACCAGACAATCCTGGGGTCAGGTGTTGGCCCCAGGGTGCTAGAGTGTGATCTTGACCAAGATACGAAGCTCTGCCCTCGTCTTTCATCTGCCGAGAGGTGATAGGACACCTATCCCCTAGGTTGTGAGACTGAATGAGAAAACAGACACAAGGTCAGGTTTCTCAGCCTCAGCGCTGTTGAAATTTTGGACCAGCTAATTCTTCGTTGGGGAGAGGGGGAGGGAGAGCTGTCCTGTGCATGGTGGGGTGTCTGGCAGCATCTCTGGCCTCCTCCATCTCTGTTCACAGTTGTGGTAACCAGAACGTCCCCAGGCATAGCCTCATGTTCCCCTGGGGGCGCAGTCGGCCTGGCTAAGAGTCACGCGCTGGCCTGGGTGTATAGGGCACTGCCTGGAGGAAAGACAGCTACTGTCAGGGTTCCTAATAATGCACCGAAGGTGGAAATAGTCCCAAGGCCATCCGGAGGCTCCTGGAAGGACACTTGTCAGCCTTTCAGCTGCCCTCCGCTCTTTAAATTTCTACATCCAGTCCAGAATAAAGTCCTTATGGAATAAAGGGTAAATGTAAAAAGGTCTACCTTTACAAACTGAAAAAAGAGAAGTCACAGATCTTTAGTTTTCCAAGTAAAGAAGAGTTGCAAATACTAAACTCAAAGCAGTGGTACTTTTGTGATGTTTAATGTTGGGTTTGAATCATATGGGGGAATTTTCTTACCTGATGTCCCTACATTAAAAGTAAACACACAAGTGTGATTGGTAAAAAGTTGGTAATTATCGTTAATAAAACTGGATAAAATGACTGTGAGAAATAAGACCAAATGGTATTAAGAAACTGGTGTAAGTCAAAAAGAAAATCAAACAAAAATAAATTCCTCAAACATAGGGATGAAAGAGGAAATATAGTCAGTTTATGACATCTCCAGGCATGGCCTCATGTTCCCCTGGGGGCTCAAATTCAGTAATGTTCAAATTCAGTAATAATTTAAAAAGTTTGAATTTCTTTTTCATTTAAATTGAGAAAGATTTTGAGTAGTAACGTCTGACTCTGTTGTACCATTTAGCGGAGCCTTCTCGTACATTCTTTGTAGGACAGAGAATGGTTACAGTATCACCAGAAAGAAACTTGGTGATATATATGCCTTAAAAATTGTACCTTTTAGCCTTTTGAAAATAATTCCTACAGCATAATCTGAAATTTGGACAAATATTTGTGTATGAAGTTGTTTATTGCAAGGTTTTAATAGAAGCCAACTTTGGGTCTAGCATTAAGGGAGTAGTAAATTACAGCTTATGGTAAATAATTAGCAGTCCTTAAAACAATATTTACAGAAGGTTTCTAATGGCATGCAGAATTCTTACAGTGTTAAATGAAAAAGCAGATTTTAAAATTATGTGTGCAGTATGAACTCAGCTCAGAATAAAGACTGGAAAAGGCATATATGAAATGTTAGTAGTGTTTGTTCCTGGGAGATTGTGTTGGGATAATTTATGAAAGTCACTCTTTAATGTGTGATTAAATTGATCATTTCTTTTTTTGGGGGGGTGTCTGTTCTTTTAGGTAATTTTTAGGTCTTATGCATTCTTGGAAATGAAGGTGTAAAAGGTGAAGCTCTGTTTCTCTGAATAAGAGAAAGCCAAAAGCAACCGTCAGTGTCTTGACATGCAGCTTTATATCTTAATAAATTCCTTTCAAGTTGCAATAGCAAACTGGTTTTGAGGGGTAGACTGTTTGCCCTACATGAAGAGTATTAATTTATTTTTACACTGTCAACTCTTGTTGATTAATTTTTAAAGATATATTTATTATAGTATGTTTCTTGATGAAAGAATCTTTAAAATGTCCATTTTTATTTTTATAGTATGTGCAGAAGCTTATAATCCTGATGAAGAAGAAGATGATGCAGAATCCAGGGTATGTAATTTACTGAACAAATTAATTTTAAATTATACCCCTGCATTGGATAAGGAAAATAATAGTAGGAAGATGTTATCAAGCATATAGGTTCACACGAGGCATAATGGAATTACTTTGACTGATTCTTTTCCTAGTCTTATCTCCAATAGCTTACTTCTGCTTCAAGTTTTGTAGAATTACTTTGATCCAAAGAGTCTCTCTCTTTGTGGATAAAAAGAATGATGAACGTAAAAACTCACTGCAGTTGTGGTTTTATTTCTCTGCAAAAATACAGCCTGTGATGAAAAATGTTTTTAGCTATCTTTCCCATAGTGATAATTTTATTTTTCTTAGTATTTCTAGTAAAGAAAAAAATACTGGGAAAAGCATTCTGCTCTTACTGATTTGTCACAAAAGAAGCTTACTCTGAAACAAAAAAAAATCAGAGCAAAATTATGTCTAAGATGCCAAACAGCATTTGTTATTTTTTTTAAAAATCTATGAGTCTAATAGTTAACTCAAAAACTGGTTTCTTGGAGGTCCTAATGTTTTTGCAAGAATTTTGTCCAGTTTGGTTTGAAGCAGCTTTTAAACTGTGTTCTTTAGCTCCATTCCCCTATTATTTATTTAGTAAAAAGTAAACTATGAGATTACTGAGCCTGGAAATGGAAAGTATTCATTTACTTTTTTTTTTTTTTGGAGTACATACTTTGCAAAAAAAGTTCCCCTTTTTTATTTGGCCCTTAAAATTAAAACAAAAATCCATTTCTGTAGCTCTGAAAAATATTTCAGTGAGATTGAGATTTAATGCAGAAAAGCAGATACTGTGTCCCTGAGTCCTTATCTCATTAAGCTCCCTGACGTATATGTAAAATCCAGTGGTAGGGGGATCAGGAGCCTTAAATGACGCAGAAGATCTTGGAGGAAATCCCATTTCACTCCTGTCTCCACGGAGATTCCCAGCACTAGGCTTGTGGTGCTTATTTCTCAGTACCAGAACCTAACGTGTTTTTGTAAAGTCCACAAATTCCAGTCTGCAAATTATGCAGCCTTAGGCTCAATGTATCTTTATCAAGGTGTAATGTGCTGTTATCACTCCACGTAGTCTGAAAATCTAGACTCTCCCCTCTCCTATCCTTTATCTTGCAGAAGCAATAATGGGTGACTTAGAAGACAACACGTATTATTTAACTTTGTTTTAAATTGAAGTATAGTTGATTTACAATATTGTTTTAGTTTCGGGTGTACAGTAGAGTGACTCGTTTACACACATATATGTATGCATATTCTTTTTTTATTCTTTTCCATTATAGTTTATTACAAGACATTGAATATTCTTCCCTGTGCTATACAGTAAATCCTTGTTTCTCTCTTTTATATATGGTAGTGTGCATATGTTAATCCCTTGCTCGCAATTTATCCCTGCCTCCTCTCTTACCCTTTAGTAACCATATGTTTGTTTTATATGTCTGTGAGTCTAATGTTTTATAAATATGTTCATTTGTACTATTTTTTAAGTTCCACATATAAGTGATATCATGTAATATGTCTTTGACTTATTTCACTTAGTATGATAATCTCTAAGTCCATTCATTTTGCTGCAAATGTCATTGTTTCATTTATATATATGCCATATCTTCTTTATCCATTCATCTGTTGATGGACACTTAGGCTGCTTCTGTGTCTTGGCTATTGTAGATACTGCTGCCATGAACACTGGGGTTCGTGTGTCTTTTTGAATTAGAATTTTCTTCTTTTCTGGATATATGTCTAAGAATGGGATTGCTGGGTCATATGATAACTGTGTTTTAACCTTTTCATTTTGGTTTCTTTTTTTCTTTTTTTCTTTTTCAAAACAGAGGTGCTGGGAATTGAACCAAGTACCTCATGCATGCTCAGCATGCACTCTACCAACTGAGCTATAACCTGACTCCCTATTTTTACTTTTTTAAGGAACCTCCCTACTGTTCTCCATAGTGGCTGCCCCAGCATACATTCCCACCAACAGTGTAGGAGGGTTCTCTTTTTCTCCACACCCTCTCCAGCACTTATTATTTGTAGACTTTTTGATGATGGCCATTCTGACCAGTGTGAGGTGATACCTCATTGTAGTTTTGATTTGCATTTCTCTAATATTTAGCGATGTTGAGCATCTTTTCATGTGTCTGTTGGCCATCTGGATGTCTTCTTTGAAGAAATGTCTGTTTAGGTCTTCTGCCCATGTTTTAATTGGGTAGTTGGTATTTTTGTTGTAGAGTCACATTGAGCTGTTTGTATATTTTGGAAATTAAGCCCTTGTTGGCCTCATCATTTGCAATTATTATTTCCCACTCCATAGGTTATCTTTTCATTTTGTTTATGGTTTCCTTGGCTATGCAAAATCTTGTAAGTTTGATTAGGTCCCATTTGTTTATTTTTGCTTTCATTTCTATTGCCTTGGGAGACTGACCTAAGAAAATACTGCTATGACTTAATGTCCGAGAATATTTTGCCTATATTCTCTTCTAGTAGTTTATGGTGTCATGTCTTATATTTAAGACTTTAAGTGATTTTGAATTTATTTCTGTGTATAGTGTGAGTGTCCTGACTTCATTGATTTGCATGTGACTGTCCAGATTTCCCATTACCACTTGCTAAAAAGACTGTCTTTTCTCCATTGTATATTCTTGCTGCCTTTGTGGAAGGTTAAATGACCGTGGGTGTGTGGGTTTATTTCTGGGCTCTCTATTCTGTTCCACTGATCTGTATGTCTGTTTTTGTGCCAACACCACACTATTTGATTACTGTAGCTTTGTAGTATTGTCTGAAGTCTGGGAGGGTTATGCTGCCATCTTTATTCTTTTTCCTCAGAATTGCTTTGTTAATTCTGGGTCTTCTGTGACTCCATACAAATTTTATGATTATTTGTTCTAGTTCTATGAAAAATGTCCTGAGTGACTTGATAGGGATCACATTAAATATGTAAATTGCTTTGGGTTGTATGGCCATTTTAACTATGTTAGTTCTTCCAATTCAGGGGCTTGGGATATCTTTCCATTCCCTTGAATCATCTTCGATTTCCTTCATCAGTTCTCAGCATATAAGTCTTTCATTTCCTTGGTTAGGTTTTTTCCTAGATTTTTGTTTTTGTTTGTTTGTCTTTCGTTTTGGATGAGGTATTAAACAAGATTGCTTTTTAAATTTTCTCTTTCTGGTATTTCATTGTTAGTGTATCGTATCATCTACCTATAATGACAGTTTTACCTCTTTCCTTTCAATCTGGATATCTTTTATTTCTTTTTCTTGTCTGATTACCGTGGGTAGGACTTCCAGTACTATGTTGAAAAGAAGTGGTAAGAGTGGACATCCTTGTCTTGTTCTAGAACTTAGCAGAAAGGCTTTCAGCTTTTCACTGTTTAGTATTAATATTGGCTATGGATTTGTCATAAATGGCTTTTACTGTGTTGAGATATTTTCCCTCTGTACCCACTTTGGTGAGAGTTTTTATCATGAATGGATGATGAATTTTATCAAATGCTTTTTCTGCGTCTATTGAGATGATTGCATGGCTTTGTCTTTTGGTGATTTGTGTAACTTTTTTTTAACATTTTTTATTGATTTATAATCATTTTACAATGTTGTGTCAAATTCCAGTGTTCAGCACAATTTTTCAGTTATACATGAACATATATATATTCATTGTCACATTTTTTTCTCTCTGTGAGCTACTGTAAGATCTTGTATATATTTCCCTGTGCTATACAGTACAATCTTGTTTATCTATTCTACAATTTTGAAATCCCAGTGTATCCCTTCTCCTTGGCAACCACAAGTTTTTATTCTATGTCTATGAGTCTGTTTCTGTTTTCTATTTATGCTTTGTTTGTTTGTTTTTAGATTCCACATATGAGCGATCTCATATGGTATTTTTCTTTTCTCTTTCTGGCTTACTTCACTTAGAATGACATTCTCCAGGAGCATCCATGTTTCTGCAAATGGTGTTATGTTGTCGGTTTTTATGGCTGAATAGTATTTCATTGTAGAAATATACCACCTTTTCTTCATCCAGTCATCCGTTGACGGACATTTAGGCTGTTTCCTTGTCTTGGCTATTTTAAATAGTGCTGCTATGAACACTGGGGTTCATGTTCTGAAGTAGGGTTCCTTCTGGATATATGCCCAGGAGCAGGATTCCTGGGTCATACAGTAAGTCTATTCCTAGTCTTTTGAGGAATCTCCATACTGTTTTCCACAGTGGCTGCACCAAACTGCATTCCCACCAGCAGTGTAGGAGGAGGGTTCCCTTTTCGCCACAGCTTCTCCAGCATTTGTCGTTTGTGGATTTTTGAATGATGGCCATTCTGACTGGTGTGAGGTGATACCTCATTGTAGTTTTGATTTGCATTTCTCTGATAATTAGTGATATTGAGCATTTTTTCATGTGCGATTTGTGTAATGTTAAATCATCCTCATGACCCTGAGATGAATGCAGATTGATCATGGTGTGTGATCCTTTTTATGTGTTGTTGGGTTTGATTTACTAATATTTTATTGAGAATTTTTGCATCAGAGTTATTGGCCTGTAATTTTCTTTCTTGGTAGTGTCTTTGGTTTTGTTGTCAGGGTGATGGTGGCTTCATAGAATGACTATGGAAGTGTTCCCTCCTCTTCAGTCTTTTGGAAGAGTTTGAGAAGGATTGGTTTAAGTTATTCTTCGTATGTTTGGTAGAATTCCCCAATGAAGCCATCTGGTTCTGGAATTTTGTTTGCAGGAGGGTTTTTTTGGGTTTTTTTTTCAATTACAGATTCTATTTCACGTCTGGTGATCAGTCTGTTCAAATTATATGTCCTTTCTTGATTCAGTTTTGGCAAGCTGTATGTTTCTAGAAACTTGTCCATTTCTTCTAGGTTGTCCATTTTGTTGGCATTTAACTGTTCGTAATATTTTCTTATGGTATTTTGTATTTCTGAGTTACCTTTCATTTTTTATTTTGAGTCCTCCCTCTTTTCTTGATGAGCCCGGCCAGAGTTTTGTCAGTTGTTTATTCTTTCAAAAACTAGCTCTTGGTTTTATTGATTTTTTTTCTATTGTTTTTTAAATCTCTTTTTATTTATTTCCTCTCTGATCTTTATTATTTCCTTCTTTCTGCTGACTTTAGGTTCTGTTTGTTCTTCTTTTTCTAATTCTTTTTGGTGGTAAGGGGTTAGGTTGTTTACTTGGGATTTTTCTTGTTTTTTGAGGAAGGACTGTATTGCTATAAAATTCCCTCTTAGGACTGCTTTTACTGCATTCCATAGATTTTTTTTGTGGTTGTGTTTTAATTGTCATTTGTCTGGAGTTTTTTTTTTTTTTTTTTTTTCCCTCTTTAACTTCATCATTGGCCCATTGGTTTTTGGTTTTGTTTTGTTTTTTGGTATGTTGTTTAGTCTCCATGTAATTGTTTTTCCTTATTTCTCTTTCTGTGGTTGATTTTTAGTTTCATGCCATTGTGGTCAGAAAAGATGCTTTGAAATAATTTCTGTCCTCTTAAATTTGTTGAGGCTTGTTTTGTGTCCTAGTTTGTGGTATGTCCTAGAGAATGTTCCATGTGTGCTTGAAAAGAATGTGTATTCCTTTTTTTTTGGATGTAGTATCCTGTAGATATCAATTAAGTCTAACTGTTCTGTTGTATCATTCATGATCTCTATTGCCTTATTGATTTTCCTTCCTGGAGTATCTGTCCATTGATGTCATGATGTCAGTGGGGTATTAAAGTGTTCTACTATCGTTGTATTCCCATCAGTTTCTCCCTTTATGTCTGTTAGTGTATTTGTTTTATGTATTTAGTACTCCCATATTGGGTGCATATATGTTAACAAATGTGATATCCTCTTCTTGTACTGGTTTCTTTATCATTATATAGTGTCCTTTTTCTTTTTTAAAATGACATTTGTTTTAAAGTATTTTGTCTGGTATGAGTGGTGCTACCCCCGTTTTCTTGTCGTTTCCATTTGCAGGAAGTATCTTTTTCCATACCCCACTTTCAGTCTTTATGTGTCTTTACCCCCAAAGTGGGTCTCCTGTAGGCAACATATTGTAGTTTCCTGTTTTATTATCCAATCTGCCATTCTGTCTTTTGATTAGAAGATTTAGTCTATTGACACTTAGAGTAATTATTGATAAGTATGTACTTATTGCCATTTTAAACCTTGTTTCTAGTTGATTTTGTATTTTTTCTTTCTTCCCTTCTTTTTTTTCTTTTTGTGGTTTGATGGTTTCCTTTTATATTATTTCTTTTTTATTTTTGTGAATCTATTGTATGTTTTTGATTTGTGATTACCCTGGTTTTAAAGTATGTTACCCCCAACAGTATCTCCTTGCTTGAGATTGATAGTCGTATAAGCTCAAGCATACTCTAAAAGATCTACATTTTCTTAGTTTGCTCTGAGACATTTTGTAATTTTGATGTCCTGTTTTTACATCTTCATGTTGATCCTTTTGCTATTCATTGTAGTTATGATTGCTTTCACAGAATTTTTGATTGTTTTTAATCTGTGTACTTATTTGAGTGATCTATAATCCTTTTATATATTTACCTTTCCTATTGTGATTTTCCTTTTCCTATAAATTCATGCTTCTTTTCTGTTTAGAGAAGACCTTTCAGTATTTCTTTTAAGATAGGTTTAGTACTGCTGTATTCCTTTTATTTTTGTTTGAGAAATTATTTATCTTTCCTTCTAAGTTAAAAGCTTGCTTAGTACAGTATTCTAGGTTGCAGGTTTTTTCCTTTTTAGGACTTTGAATATCTCTTGCCACTTCCTTCTGTCCTGAAAAGTTTCTGTAGGGAAATCAGCTGAGAGCCTTATGGGGGTTCCCTTGTAACTGACTCTTTGTTTTTCTCTTGCTGCCTTTAGTATCCTCTCTGTATCTTTAACTTTTGCCATTTTAAATATGATATGTCTTAGAGTAGGTCTGTTTGGGTTCATCTTGTTTGAGACCCTCTGGGCTTCCTGTACCTAAATATCTGTTTCCTTCTTTAGTTTTCACATATATTCTTTGTATTTGTGTATAAATGTATACTGTAAAACTCAGTATTTGAGTTGTTTAATGAGCTGATTTATCTTAGTAAAAATATGCATTAAAGAACATTTTAAAATACGATTTGAAAGCAGTATATGGTAACTTATAGACTTGTAAACTGTTAGCTACCATTTGATTCATATAATAGATAATTTGACTCGATGACTCCAACTAATTTCTGGCAGTCTTGCTGGGGAGACTATACCAGTTAAGAGTCATTTGTCTGTGGGCAAGAACCCAGTCGCATTGAGATAAAAATAAAAAAGAAAATACTGGAAAATTACTGGAAATATGATTGGAAATCATATAGGCTAGTATAAATATGTATTTTTATGTGAATTCAAAGAAAAATTTAAATACTTAAGATTAATTTTAGAAAGTAGCACATGAGATTTTAGTTGGAATACCTTTAGTAAATGAAAATGTTGGGGTTATGTACATCTACCGTGTAGATACTGGTAAAGAAGAGCCGGTACGTTTAAGAATTGTGGAGCATTTCTTCATTCTGTTACTCCATGAAATGTGTTGGGAGTGCCTTCTGCATATCAGGCTGGGTGCTGAGTGTACAGTGATGAGTACGGTGGACAAGTCCCTGCCGTCTTGGGGCTTAGAGTCAAATTAGCAGAAGTTAACAACAAGCAAGTAAATTGAAGTGCTAAAAGGACAGTGTAACAGGGTGCAGGAATTAACACCAAACCAAACTCCCCAAATCGAAAGAGTCCCTAAATAAATGAAATGGTTGGGAGAAGGCCTTCTTGTGGTGAGACCAGAAGGGTCGATGTGGACAGAGTCTTGCCAAAAGCCCAAGAGTGCATTTCTGGTTGACCTAATAAGCACATCAGAGCAGGAGCTGGAAGTTGTGAGTGAAGGCAGGAGAGCCTGGGACTGGGTGGTTGAGGTGGGGGTGAAAAAGGAAGGAGCGAGGATTTAATTCTCCATGAATGTGATGGACTCCATTAAGGTCTTCATCTGGAGAATGGGTGTGTTTCGATTTAAATTTTTTAAAGATTACTTTCAGCTCTGGGTGGAGACTCGATTGGACAGATAGGAAAATATCTTGCACGGATGTCCCTTGTGTAACAAAACACATACACGGTGTTCTTTAGTAAAGTTCTAAAGTAAAGGTGTAAGTCTGTCTTACTTACTCATTGTTTTTCTAAAGTTTTTGAAAGGCAGCAGAGGTTTATAGCAGGATTTGGCAAACTTTTCCTGTAAAGCTTTTTTTTCTGGGAATTTTACTGTTTTCAGATAATAAACTCTTTAGGCTTTGGGGAGTTTCCATCACAGCTCTTCAGCTCTGCTGTTGTAGCTTGAAAACAGCCATAGACAATACATAAAAGAATGGGTATGGCTGTGACCCATTAAAATTTCATTTATGGACCTTTGAATTTGAATTTTGTAAAAATTTCACGTGTCAGGAAGCATTCTTTTTGATTTTTTCCCCCAGTCATTAAAAAATGTAAGACCATTCTTAGTTCAGGGGTCATGCAAAAAGAAATTTGATCTTTGGCCATGGTGTGCTACCCTGGTTTATAGTATCAACTCTGTAGCCAGCCTACCTGGGATGAGTCCCAGCTCTACAGCTTCTGAACTGTGTGACACTGAAGAAGTTACTTGGGCAAGTTAATTTCCCTACCTTTTCTCTCCTGAGAGATCATACAGTCTTTGTCTTTCTCTGTCTGACTCATTTCACTTAACTCTTAGCGTTCACCGGCTTCGTGGGGTCTGTTCCTAGGATAATACTAGTTATATATTTAAAGCCCTTAAAACAATGCCTGGCACATCATAAATGCTTGTTTAACCAATAAGACTTTTAATCTTGAAATCAGAAATAAATTTTAATAGAAAACAAAGTGGCCTCTAGTCTAATAAAAGTCACATTTGGGTACTTTTCCTTAGTTATCAGTTGGGTCACACCAGACGCAGCAGAAAGAAGTGAGTAGAAGTGGGAGAGCATCTTCTGAGCAGCTGGGACAGGGCAGGGGAGCCAGAGCTTTGAAGGTTCACCCAGTTTCTGACTGTTCGCTTCCCAGGAACCGGAGTAGGATTTTAATGGGGTGGGAGGAATCGATGGGAGATAAAGGACTCTGGCTACTTTATCTATCATAGAGAAGTGATGGCAGGGAGGGGGAACCGGGGGAAAAAGGAAAGCAGAGAGGAGAGCAGTGGACAGTAGCAGTGGGGACAGGAGTGTAACAAAATTTAGAAATGCTCATTCATAGGCAGAGAAGTGGCAGGAGAGACAGGAGGAAGCTGGGCTTTTGTGTGAGGCGTTTGTACCCAGTGAATGGGGCAAGGGGAAAGACCTAAACTGATGACAGAGGTGAAGCAGGTGCAAGATGGTGTTAAAAATGATTGAAGACGGCAGTGTAGGTGATACAAACTTTCAACACTGCATGAAGCAGGCAGTCTCCATTCCCAAGGGCCCCGAGAATTGCAAAATGGGACAGAAGGCAGGAAGCTTTTATAGGATGAAGAATACAGAACAAGGATGAGAAAAATAGACAGTGAATAAGGAACAAGGAAGTAAGTGTAGAGCCCAGAGTTGGCTTGGCTTTGAGGGGTTGGCTGACCAGATACACTGTGTTTCTGGTGAAGTGGATCATTTATAGGGACATGGGAGTTCATCTACTTCTTGTTTTGCTGACGTGGATGCGGGCAGAGGTGGCTCTGTCTTGAGCCTGGAAAGTTGTTTCCGTGTCGGTAACATGGTCCCCAACATCTCTCTGAAGATAGAGCTTCTCAGCAGGCAAACATGTGATTGCTTCTGTTTGAAGTTCTAGATGGGTTTTGTGATGTGAGAAATACCTGCTTGTCTTGCTGTGCTGTGTTAGTGTTAGCCTTCCTTAAGTGAAGTAGGCGGCAGTGAATTTCGGTTGGCATAATTTGGTTAATAGTCAAATTTTAAAACTTTTCTGAATAGCAGTGCATTGTTAGGCACCAGGACCTGCTTTTTGTGCAATCATGTGCCATTGTAGATCTAGCTTGAGGGTAATACTGATTCAGTAGTGAATAGAAGTTTGCACATCCTTTCCCCTTAGAGGAAAAACTGCTGTGACTTCCTCTCTCACTGGCCAGTAGATAGACTTTTGCATGGCGTATAAACAGCACACACATGAACAGTACACATACACTGTAAACTTCCTCACTTCTTCTTGGGCCCAGGATTTTTAGCCCCTTGAGCTGGGTTTGAAATGCTGATTTGATCACATCAACAAGAGAAAGGACAAAAACCACATGATCATCTCAATCGATGCAGAAAAAGCATTTGATAAAATTCAACACCCATTTATGATAAAAACTCTCACCAAAGTGGGTATAGAGGGAACATATCTCAACATAATAAAAGCTATATATGACAAACCTATAGCCAGCATAGTTCTCAA